TGGGTTCCTCGGCACAGCATGCGGCCCTGCGACATGGTGGCCGAAGCGCTGGGGGTGCACGTGCAGCCCTGGCGCCCCGCGGCGCCTCCAGGGGAGGTGCCTCCGACGTTGGCGGGCGGCGCGGTCGCGGTGGTTTGAGCCGAAAGCGTACGTGATAAGGCATGTTGCGGAACTTGTGTATTCGGTGGGTGGCTCCAGTATGCCATTCCAATGAACGCCGGCACTGTCTTGGCCCTGGAGGGAGTGCGAGACCTCGGACACGTGAGGGTTGTCAAAACGGGCCCAGAAGGCCGAAGATGCCCCAAGACGACCGAAGGGAGGGGTAGAACAACATAAGGTTCTAGCGTCAAAGTAACATCTAATCAAGAAGAATCGTCGGACAAATCCTCGAACAAGCCAGACAACCCCTTCAGGACTCATGCTATGCGCGAGTGGCGAAGGTTAAACCTTCGTACGCGGCATCTGTGATGCTGGATGTGGGCGGATGTCTGAGAGGAAACTCACTGGACCACTTCAGGCCAGAGCATCTCTGAGCCCAGAGTTGCGAGGATGTCTCAGGCGACACTGGTTGCACCTTCATGTGCATGGCATGTGGGTCCATAGTTGGAAGCATGTCTCGTTTGACTGTCCGGGCCATCTTGGGTGAGGGTATCTCCGAGCTCAGAGATGCGAGGCTGTCGCATGCCCGACTGGGCAGACTATCTCTCGCGAGGCATATTTGAACCCAGTTGCGGCACGTCGGAAGCGAAACTGGCCAGCGCACTTCGTGCGCGCAGTCTCTGAACCCATAGTGGGATGTCTCAGGCGAGACTGGGTGGATCAGCTGAGGTCGAGGCAACTTGGAACTACATGGGGGGGTACTTCAAGTGAAAGTGTCTGCACGGCTGTTTGCGAAGCATGTCTGAGCTGTAAGTTGGGAGGATATGTCAGGCGAGACTGGGTGGGCCACCCCAGGTCGAGGCATATCTGAGCTTATAGTTGCGAGGATGTCTGAGGCGAAACTGGCCAAACCACGTCGTGCGAAGCATCTCTGAGCCCGAAATTGCGAGGATGTCTCAGGCGAGACCGGGTGGACCACCTCATGTCGAAGTACTTGAGCTCAGAGTTTCGAGGAAGTACTTGAGCTCAGAGTTTCGAGGATGTCTGAAGCGAAATGGCGGGACGACGCTGTGCACAGCATCTCTGATTCAAATGTTGGGGGGATGCCTCTGACGAGACTGGGTGGAACACCTCAGGTCGAGGCATTTCTTAACCAAGAGTTGCGTGGATGTCTCAGGCGAAACTGGCCAGAACACTTTGTGTTCTGATCGAGGCATTTCTGCGACCAGAGTTGCGAGGACAACTCTGGCGAGACTGGCTGGACCTCGACGCGCATGGTCTCTCTGAGCACATAGTTGAAAGCATGTGGCTTTTGGGACTGGCCGGATCGGTCCGGGTAGGGGCACCTTCGAAGGCAGAATTGCGATGCCTGACTGGCGTCTCTGAGCGGCATCGCTGAACCGAGAGAAGGGGGATTGTTCAAGCGAGACCGGCAGAACAACGCAGGGCGAAGCATGCTGAATCCAAGGGTGCGGGGACGTTTCAGGCGAGACTGCCTGGAGCCGCCGCCGCACAATCGTCGTTATCGTCCTCGTCGTCGTCGTCGTCGTCGTTGTCGTCGCCGCCGCCGCCGCCGCCGCCGCCGCCGCCGTCGGCGTTACCGCTGTTTTTTTCATCGTCGTAGTCGTCGTCGTCGTCGTCGTCGTGTCGTCGTCGTCGTCGTTGTGCTCGTCGTCGTCGTCGTCGTTGTCGTCGTCGCCGCCCCGTGGTCCTCTTTCGTCCTCCGTCTTCGCCGCCGCCGCCGCCGCCGTCGTCGTCCTCACCCCCGTCCCGGTTCCCACCATCCTTTTTCTGCATCCTCCACGCTCTCCATCTGTTTGCCGGCCGCGCCGAGCCGGCCGACCGCGTCGGGGGCGAGGGACGGGAAATGGCGGAAGAGGGGGGAGAGGAGGGAAAAGAAGGGGGGGGGCAAGAGTACGCAGCGGTGGCAGCGGCAGGGTGGCAGAGGCGACGGGGAGACGACGAATAGCCCAAGTAATCCGCGCAAGAACGACGGTGTCGCACTCCATGTGGGAATGCGTCCGGAGGACGAGGCGGCGGACGGGGGGGAATCATTTTGTGCCATCGTGCCAGAGGTACACCAGAGAACTGCCGACGCAGAGGCACTTGCGCGAGAGTAGCCGGAGGCACCGCGGACCGGAAAGAGGGGGGCAGAATGGAACGAAGGGAGACGAAGGGTGCAGTGGCAAAAATCGCCCAATCCCCTCCGTGGGGCCGATCTAGCTTGATTCTGGACGTGGACAAAACTCTGCAAGCTGGGCGAGCAGCGCTCGATGGCGAAAAAGTTGCCATGCGTGCTCTGACGTAGAGGGAGGGGCGTGGGTGGACGAGGAACGGAGAGGACGCCGTGGGAATGTCGGACGTTTGTTGGAAGGGGAAAGAGGGAATGCGCGGAAAAAGGGCATTGCGTTGTCGGGGAGGAGGAAAGGGGGTGGAAAGCAGGAAGACTGGGGCAAACGGGGGGAGCAGGGAGGGGTGGGGTTCAAGTGAGATGGAGCATGGCGAAGAGAAAGATGAGGAACGGTGTCTGTGTACGATCTGGAAGCGGAATCTGCCGAGGAGGTGTCTTGGGTCGGCAAAGTGGCGGCGCCCGCAAACTGCGAAGAGATTGCATATAGCGGGGCGCAGCTTGGATGGAAAAGTGGCGCCTTAGAGCCGGTCGGGACGACACTACATGGGCGTCGCGGGCTCACCGAACGTAGTATGCATGCGCTTAGCGATCATGCCCTGCAGATCTGGGTCGAAGTCGTCCAGCTTCCTCTTGAGGGTGTGGGGGGGGCGTCTTGAGGAGCTGCATCGTGGCCTGCATCTCGGCCGTCCAGGGGTCGAAGGACATGCCAGTGGGCTGTTTCCACATGTCCGCGACGGTGAGGACCTTCGCGGCCACGTCGATGTGGGTCACGCGCACGAGAGCTACCTCCTTCCGCGGGAGCGCGTAGTATGCCAAACGGCTTGCGGGAGCAGACGTCACAGTTTCCCACTGCTGGTCCATGTGGTCGCCGCGCGCCTCCGTGACGAAGTTGCGAATAGCGAAGCCGTCGGCGGCGGGCTCCGTCTTGGGCTCTTTGGCGCCGACGATGAGCGCGAGGATGCCGCTGGCAAGACGTCGTCCACCTTCTCCTGGGAGCGCGATGCTGATGAGGCCCGTGGGGGACTGGGACGCCCAGGTCAACTGCACGGGCACTAGGCGCGCGTCGCTCGGGGGGACGAGGTTGGGCTCAGGCACGTCGAAGTGCCGGCACTTGGCGGCCACGACGCTCAGCGAAGGCACGGTGCTCCCCGCGGGTGTGTCGAACCGCACGCGGAGGCGCGCTCTTGTGAACGCGAGACTGCCAGAGGTCGCCTGCTGGAGGAATTCGTCCTTGTCCTTCGTGTCCGTGAGTGTGAGTGCGACGCTCTCAGGCATGTCGGCAGCGACGGCGTTGGCAAAGTCCGTGATGTCCACCTTGGCCCAGATGCGAGTCTTGTCCTTGGTGAGGAGGTCCGCGGCGTCTGCGCTTTGCAGGGAGACCAGGGCGCCGGTGATCTCAAAGAGCGTGTGGGATAACGCGCGCTTGAAGTGCGTGGCGCACTCCAGGATGCCAGTGTGGGCGCTGCATGCCGCCCCGTCCTCCCAGTTGCCGCTGCTTTCCCACTTGGATAAGCATTCTTTTTTTCGGCAGGAAGGGCTTGCACATTGCTGTCTCCAAGCGCGTGGGCAATGGGCCGGGCGCCGGACGCCGGCACCGCGAGCGTCTCCTTCCGGGCGGTCAAGTGGCGGCCGCCGGAGCTCTCCACCACGAGGTATACATTGTATACGTAGAGTGGCTTGAACGTGTCGATGTCCCCTGCCAGATGCCGGGTGTCGTCTCGGAAAATGAGCGGTATCTCTATGCCTGATGCATTCGACAGGGTCACCTTGACGTTGGACTTGCCCTCCGTCGCGCTTGTGGAGCCCGACGCATTGGTAGCGACGGCTGTGACGTCGACGAGCTGGCTGGTTTCCAACTCGAGTAAGTCGAA